TTCCTAGCCAAGCCCTGCTTCGGTGCCCTCCTTCTGTGGGGCCATAGGAACATCGACCCCGCCCGTTTGGGTCTTGCCATCCACGACTACGGTGATGCCGACGCTGTCGTTCAGGAGAAGAAGATCAAGCCTGAGACTGCTGCCTCGGGCGCAACTGCCACCCACCCCGATGGGTACAATGGCACAGCTCCTCACGTCGACAACACTGTCTAAACAAATCTCTTGGTTTAAGATGAACAGTGGCCTCTGACAAGACGGAGAGATCAGAGGTATGGTGGTAGTTGTAATGTTAGGATGACCTTCGCGTTTGCAATCCCACCGGGGATGAGAACGTGGAACTGTAACGCGGATCGAATCATGAGTACTTTCAAGATACCCTCTTTGGTAGATACTTAATTAATTTTTTACCTTGTCAAACGTGTTTCCGAATGTTTCTGCATACATCCATTTGACATGTTCACAGCTAGTGCACAACCAGCAGATACTCTAACCACCCAACCCTCCGCTGATGTATACCACCAACACAGGCAGACTCGATTGTACAACCCATGTTTCTGCGCCTAGAGTATGCATTCTGCACACACCATTAACTTTCACCATTCGTGCCGTATTCGTTCACTATATAACTTCCGCAACCCTTTCTCCAAGTCCCGCGCATACGTTGATGAACAGGCTAGCCAACGTTTGTTGCTCATATCTATTCACCCACAATCGTGACCCCTCAGGATTCCATGACAAAAAGTGGTCATTAAATCAAGTACAATGTATACCAACAACATTAATGTACTAAAAGCCCTTATCTACGCCCGTATCTACAGTAAACTACATACGACAACACTACCAATCGCCCAGCAACCCATTACCAGCCTTCTGATACACCAAAACACCCGGTACCGTCACAAACACAAGGGCAATGCTCAACAATATCCAGACAAGCCAACTAAGATACGGTCCGTTCTGAGTGCGATCCAATGGACCAGGAGCTGGCTTGGGCTCTTCCTTGGCGTCCAGCGGGCGCCACGGGATGCGGCTCATTTCATTGCGGTCATGGAGGATCTGTTCGGTGACCAACTTGGCACCAGCAAGTACAATGGGAACACCCGTGCCAGGGTGTGTGCTCGCGCCGACAAAGTACAGATCCTCGATGCTGCGATGCTTTGTCTTGGGCCTGAAGCTGAGCACGTTGAAGAAGGAGTGGCTGAGACCGAGGATAGCGCCACGGTCGAGGTTGAAGGTGGATTTCCATGTCACGGGCGTGTTGATGGTCTCTTCGATGATGTGGGGACCGAGCGAGATCTTGAGTCGCTTCTCCATGGTTCTGATGATGGTTTCACGGGCTGATGCTACCATCGAGTCCCAGTCTTGGGTCAGGCCTTTCGTGTGCCCCGAGCCCTTGTGTTGGTCGTCGGATGAGCCTTCCAAGTGACCGACTGGGACTAGGATGACGATGGAATCACAGCCCTCTGGCGCGGCGGAAGGATCGACGCGGGAGGGGACGTTGACGTAAAAGCTGGGTTGATCTGGAATCAGGTGCTTCTTGAAGATGCTGTCAAAGCTCTCTTTGTAATCTTCCGCGAGGAAGATGTTGTGAGCGCTTAGTTCGGGGAATTGTCGGTCTAGCGCCCAATAGAAGGATATGCTTGAGCAAGACGCTTGACGTTTCAGTAGAGCTCGTCCAAACGAGGTGGAAGGGAGAAGATTGTTGTATGCGTAGGCCAGATCAGCGTTGCAGACAACCACATCAGCGGTCAATGGCTCCTGGCTTTCATCTTCGAAAACAACGCCGGTCGCACGTTTCCCGTCGTCCGATATCTGTATGTTGCGGATGGGGCTGTTGAACTTGAATTCGACACCCAAACGCTCACCTACATTGACAAGAGACTCAACCACCTGATCACGTTAGTAAAGAGGATTTTCTGCAAAGGAGCACACTAACTTTATGGAAGCCACCAATGGGATACCAGATGCCCTCCGCCAGTTCCGTGTATTGCAGCAGACTATACGTTCCCGGAGCGTCAAACGGGCTCATGCCCATATACATGCTGGCAAATGTGAAGACTCTCCGTAACCTCTCCGTCCAGAAGTACTTGCTCGCCCGGTAATAGATGCTCTCAAATGGATGCAGCTCGAAGAGATGCAACAAGAAGTCGAAACGGACCATGCTCAGCAACGAGTAGAAATTCTTCTTCAGCACATGGATGATGGATACCTCGTAATGTCGATGTGATTCTTGCAGGAAAGCAAGGTACCGCTCGAATCCGTCTTTGCCTTCAAAACGCTCGACTTCAGCCTTCATGATGGAGATGTCGGTTGAGAGTTTGAAGGTAGTGTCATCATGGAAATGGACATTGTAGTTCGGCTCGCATTTGACCAGCTTGACGCCCTCTGCATCGAGCGAGGTGCCCAGATCCTCGAATGTCTCATGAAAGAAGCGAGGTAGGAGTAGTAAGCTCGGACCTTGGTCGAACCTCTGCGTAGCGATCAGCTTTGAGTCGTGCAATGCTGCCGCACGCTCGTCGACTTACATATCCGTGACGATGTATCAAACTGCATCTTCCGCCAGAGAAATCGTTCTTCTCGACTACAGTAACTTTGTAGCCTGCCGCTGCGAGCCGCGCTGCGGTAGCGACACCTCCGGCACCAGCACCGACGACGATCGCGCTAGGGCGCGTGCCCTTGTTCTCGATATGCTCCCCCATTTAGTAGACGGATTGATGTGTGAGAGGCGGCACAATTGCGATGAGCGTTGTGAAGAAGACGCGTTGTAGCGCGCCACGCTCGGGTATTCCTGGATCAGTCCACACCAAGACTGCCAGTCATGACGTCTACAAAAATCAATAGGGCTAGTTTGCACCTTGGGCAATTGTTGAGTTGCGTCGGCACATTTGCGCTGCACGTGAAAGCTTCTGGCTGTCTGAATCCTAATCGGCATCTTTCCTTGGATGGTTTTCCGCCCCCTGCATGCGATGTTGAAGCCGATAAGCCACGCGAATGTAGCTCACACATGCTATCCGCGCGCAGCTTAGAGCGGAAGCCCGCGGACAAGAGATTGTCGAAAGACTTGGCGCATGCGCAATAAACTGTCACTTGACTATCTAGTGATGTGCGATCCTCAGTGTTGTTCATCTCATGATGATCGTCGACGCTTCAACAAGTGCCCGCGATCGTGGGGTCCACTAGCGACGCTCGGCATTCACCTTGCAGCATGCGTAGAAGATATTTGAACATTACAACATTATATTATTAGCGACTCAGAACGTCGTCTTAATTAAATATGGTGAGAATATCGGTAGAGTTAGAGTACTCGGGCTGACATTCCTCAGTAAATCCGCCAAACATGTCGGCGCGCTCTTGAACAAAATCCTGGAACGCGCTCTTGGAGCAACTCTCTCCAGGGCCATCAGCACAAGCCAGCGGCTGCGGGTCTTTGTTGACGAGGACGCGGATGTACTCGTCAGCGGCGAATCCGTAACTGTCGCATGACATCTTCTCAACAGCAATGTTGGACAAGAAGGGTAGGATCCTCGATGATCTCCACGCTCTCGCATGGTTGGGCCTGTCGAGGGGCATTGTGATGTTTGGGTTGTTTACTCCGGTATTAGCGGAGTTGTTGAACAGACCCATAGCAACTACGACGGTAGGAGGCAACTCGCGGTGTGTGAAAGAGACGTAGAGATCCTGGTCAGCCTCGTCCGCGAGCAACTCGACGGCGGTAGCGTTGAGCCAGGGAAGGCCAAGAGCACCCGACAGCTCGGGGCTTCCATAGCCGGTGTTGTAGAAGTACATGATATCGTTCATGTACTCGAAGGAGAGCCACTCGTCCTGGGAGAAAAGGTCGAGCGAACAGAAGGGGGAAGAGCCACGAATGACTGTCTCGTATCCGCACAGCTGCTGCATGCCTACAATGTCCGACTTGGTGAAGTTGAAGGCAGGGGCGTATGCATTCAAACGTTCGACGATGGGCTTGGTGTACGTTTCTTGGTATTGCTGGAAGAGTATTGTTAGTTGGAGTTATGTTGTCTTGGTGAGTTTACGTACAGATGACTGCTCGCTACCATATGAAGAGCTGTACTTGGGGCAACCCTTGTATGGTGTCAGGGAGTCTGCACCTCGAGCAGCATCCTCGCGGACGGAAACGCGCTCGGTGCCGTTGCTCTCAGCCACAAGGCCGTCGATGAAGGAGGATGCACTGAGCTCGGTCCTCTCGGCCGTTGATGTCCATACGCGCTCAGGGTCCTTGAAAGAAGGGTAACGCAGACGGACATCGACACCCAGCTTGTACGATTGCAGTCTTCCGACCGAGGTGAGATCCTCTAGCTCCTCGTCGCTAATGGGTGTCTGCCATTTGGACAGGAACGACAGGGGTCCCGCGCTGCGCCAGTCGGCCGTCGTGTTCTTCAGCTTGTCGGTGAAGGGCTCGATGTACTCCTCGTAGTCAAAGTCGTTGGCGTAGATGGCGGCATGGCGAATGAGGTACGACGCGCGCGTTACGTTGCAGCCCTGTGGCGGCTTGGGGTCGAGACGCGGATCCTCGAAGTATGGGGCAATGCCGGCAAGATGCTGCAGAGGGTCGAACGAGTAGGCGGCCTGTGCCGTGGCTGCATTAGCAATTGCGAGGATGGAAACGAGGGCCGACTGCATGGTGGGCAATGTAGGCTAGAGCGCGAGCCGTACCTAGGAAAGTTGGGATACATGATCGCCTTTAAGCTCTGCCCCAGGCTGCGCAAACGATGTCATTGTCCGGATCCAGCGTGCCGTACGCTGTGGAGAAAGCCGGAAGCAGGTCGTGCTCGACCACAACCGACGGGATATGACGATGTTTGCCAGGTACCTGCCAAGGCAGCGGTTGCGCATTGACCTCACCAGCCACGTCAGCCACCATCACATCTTCCGGCTCCTCAATGGGTGGATACGGTGAAAATAAAAACAATCAAATAACCAGGGGTATTGGGTAGCCAACTCGCTTCTAGCATTACACAGTCTCGTCACACACCGTCTCGTCACACCACGTTCGCCCGTCTCTGCAGCGTCTGCACTTTGAGTTCCAACACTTGGCAGTCATTCTCCTTGCGGTGTAGATCTCTCATGAGTCCCTCCTTCTCCGACCGGAGAGCCTGCAGCTTGCCTCCGATGCTCTCGCGGTAGGTGGCATGTTCCTCAAGCAGGGCTTCAATTCGGTACCAGTCCATCTGCCCGCTTCCTCCCGAAGCACCCTGGGACCGTAGCCGCTCGAGCTCAGCGTCTTTGGCCCTGATCTTGGATTCAAGATCAGCAACGGTCCCTTTCCACGCTTGGTGAGCGGTCGATCGGTTCAGATCGTCGATGCTGCCACCTCGCGGCGCCCCTAATTGCGCGACAAGATCAGAGTTTCGCTTTTCCAATTCGAGAGCTCGTTGCTCGAGAGCTGCCACCTTGGCCGCGGTAAAGAGGTCGGTTGTGTCGCGCCTTTCGAGAAAGCTGCCTGGACGTCCCCGGCTTGGACTGCTTCGTCCAGTCTGTGCATGCAGTCGCTCCACCTCTCTTGTCTTTTCCGCAAGCTTGCTCCGTACAATCTGCACGTTGATGAGATCTTCGTCGCGCAGCTTTTTGGTCGCGTCCAGTTCGCGTCGACAGCTAGCTAGCAGTCCCTGTATCGACATGTTAGTGAATGTCTTGCGCTAATCCGTCGTCTTCTACACTTACACGAATCTTAATGTTGTTCTCCACATCTTCGTCTCGAAGGGCCCAGATGGCGTCGTGTCGCTTCCACCATGTCTTCTTCTCGTCTTCCAACGCTTTCAGACGCGCCATCGTCTGCTCGTACTCTTCAGGCTTGACTGATATGGCAGGATTCGATTGTTCGATGTAGACAAGCTTGGACATTAGGGCGGCAAGTTGCGACTCCAGAGGACCAGGGACATGCGGTGCGGGTGCTGGAGATACCGGCTCCTGGCCTGTGAGGCTCATCTTCGTGGCTGAAGGCGCCAATGACTTCTTCGATGGATAGGGGTCCTCCTCGTTGCCGTCCAGCGTGGAAGATCGCGATGTTGCATCGTCGTCCACTGGCCGCTCAACAAAGGTTCGCTGGTCTTGATATTGCGGTTTTTGCACGTTGACAGGATGTACGACGTCGTTCGCCTTCTTCTGAGAGAACAAAGGTGCTGTGGGGTTAGGTTGTTGCTGTTGTCGTTGCATTTGCGCCATGGCTGACATGGAGGTGTCTTGTGGACGACGAGAGTATTGTTGTGGCTGTGGCTGTTCGTCCTCTGAACCCAGGTCAGAGTAGTTGTCTGACTCGTAATTCGTCGGTCGTCTCTGCATCTGAGGTGAACTCATGGAAACGGGGCGACTGCCTGATTGGAAGGATGCGATGGAATGGACAGATGGTGTGCGTTTCGCTCCTGGAGTTACGCGGTTTGGTGCCCACATCTTATGCTGGGGTTGAAGTCGGAAGGGTACTGTTGCGCAATGTCTGCGTGTATGGCGAACCGAGGCAATCGAACGAAGAAGCTGAGCTCAGCTAGATCTCTTAGTAATTAAGATGAATTTGATATCTGTCGAAAAGTCGAGGTTCAAGACAACCTCTATGTAGTCCATCGTGGATTCGCGGTCATGCTATGAAACGGTGCTGAGACGCAGGGGTCAGGACACAGAGATCTGCGACACAGACAGATGAACGACAGCCGTATCAGCCTGAGATTGCCTTTGAGCCTTGGACTGCACAATTCCGACTTGGTACAACACCTCGAGTCCGTACTTTTGAAAAGGCTCCACTTGGAGCCCCATCTCACCATGGTGTAACACCAAATTCTACGCGAGTCATGGCGCCGTTTGCCGATAGTTCAGACTAGAGCAGACCCGGCGCTACGGATGCTGGTCTGAAACACTTCAAGCCGCGATCTTGTATCAACACTACCGGTTATCACATCCTGTCTAACACGTATTCGTGCCCTCGTGCAATAGATGCCTCAGCCAAGCTGTAGGCATACATTTCTGATGAGATTACGGACTTGTGCGTGCACCATGTCAAGCAGGGCATCTTCGATATTGAATGGAGCTGTGCTATGCTGGGGTGCCGACGAATATATACTGTCTTATCACATATCGTAGCGGTCCGTTTCGTGGTGAGCAGGCCGGTATACAAAGTAGTCAAAAGACGCCACCTTCTCTGTGCCGTTGCAATCAGATGCCGCCATACCCACAAATGCGCCCGTGAAGCTTCCATGTCTGTGTTTGCAAAGTTAGCATGCATCGTCATGTAATTGATAGAGGAAAGTAACTCACGCTTGATGACCACCACACTCATCACTCAGAATCGAAGCATCGTAGACAGGTCCAATCTCTGTCAACTCCTTTTGTCCCTCTAGCGCGTAGCTAAATTGGAGTTTTCTACCCCGAATGCTCAGCGCCAATCGTACCTTGCCCTCTTGTGGGAGTGACACCGGCTCCGCGAGCGGGAGTTTCAAATTGCCGTCCGGCCACGAAGCTTCCGAGCTCAAGATGAGCAGTTCACGCTTGCCATCAGAGTCGGCCGTGACGGTCAAGTAAAAGAAGTTGAAGCGGCAGTAGTAGGCAGTCAGGCCTGCGAATGTGCGTTCGTCGTCTGGGCCGAAGCTAACGACTGTTTCGGCATCATACGAGAAATGCGTTTGACGGCGTGCGACAAGGGCTTGTTCGAACCAGGATCCAACGGCCTCGCGCCCAATGAGTTGCAAAGCACCATCTTTGACGTCGAAGATGCGCTCTGGCTCCGGGGTGCGGAGCCACTGAAAGTCTTTGTGGAGACCATCTTTGCTGTTGAATTCGTACCGCTGCTCAGCCCAGTATGCGGTATCGTCGCGCGCTGCCGGCAGTTCGACATGAAGAGATGGAACGGGTCCGTTCTTCACATATAGCCAATCGTCCTTGTCCCAGTAAGCCTCTTGAATAGCGCACTCACGCCCAAGAACACAGCGACGGAATTGTGTGGTAGGGCGGCCAGCCAGATGGACAATGTACGTCTTGCCGTCCGGAGTGTCGACTATATCTCCATGGCCCGCCCTTTGTAGCGAAGCTAGCGGCGCGTCTTTGGAAGTAATTATGTGCTTTTGAGGGTGCAGTTCGTATGGGCCCCAGATATCGCGGGATCGTGCCAAAGTACAGGCGTGTTCATATGCTGTGCCGCCCTCAGCAGTCAACAAGTAGTACCACCCGTTCCGCTTGTACAGATGTGGGCCTTCTACCAGAGCTAAGTCGCTACCGGGGAAGATAGTCTTCCATGGGCCAACAAGTTTCTTCGTTTCAGGATCCCATTCCTGCATTCTGATTCCCTACAAGTAGATCCATGAGCTCGGTATCTGCTGCAACGACTTGTCGCCGGAAGGCATTCACTTACAACGAAGAACTGCTTACGTCTTCGGTGGTCTTGCAGCATATTTATGAAGTACTTCTTGCCATCGTCATCATGGTACAGTGAAGGATCGAATCCTGAGTGGTTGATGTAAATGGGGTCAGACCACGGACCCTCGATGCGATCGGCAGTGACGATGTAGTTGGGCGTGTCTTTGAAGGAGCCATCCTTGCGTTTGACGTCTGTGTACACCAACCAGAATTTGCTGCCATCATGTGTGAGACAAGGTGCCCATACACCTAAAGTCTGTCAGAAATGCGCGGATATATTCAATTTTGATCCAATACGTACCGCAACTATCGGGGTCACCGCGCATGTCCAATTGACTCTTCCTGCTCAGTGGCCGTGTGACAAGCTCCCAGTTGGCGAGATCCGTGGAGTGGTGTATTTGCACTCCTGGAAACCACTCGAAAGTGGATGTTGCAATGTAGTACTAATTTGACACAATCAGTATGTGCCATGGCCTACTTCTAAGGTCTGAGGTTCAATAATCCCCAGATCACATCGAAAAATCCCAACGGTGGCTTTCATGGTAGTCCCGCAGTCGAAATTGGGGAGTTGTAGAAACTGTAATACTCACTATGGTACTCTGGTTAGCTCATTTTCTCAAGTGGAACATTACAATATCTTACCGTCATTTCCAACACGCAAGACCGATGGGTCCGCGTTGAAACCTGGAAGAATGGGATTACGAACTAGCGGCATGATGGTGGGTTAGACGTTATGTGTATTGTTTGCGATACTCTCGCATGACAGCTCAGCTATATACGGTGCTTCTCATCGAAGATATCGGCGACTGCCCGCAATGAATTAGCCGGCTGCGAACCGCCTCTTTTGCCGGCGCCTACTTGGCCAACAGCTGACGATACAGTGTTCTCAACCCCGCGCCTGGCCCGACATGCAACATCACGCCGAAGGAAGCGAAAACTGGAGCGGATAGATGCGCACCTCCGATTGTGATGACGCAAGGCACTGTCATGTAGGATGTAACGAAACGCATAGCTAACAACTTGAAAGCCAATGATGTGAATTGTCAATGTGTAGAGTCAAGGCCTGATGGTACACATAGTTTGGCCATCAGGCAGTTCAGCATGAGCTAGATTACTTGCAATGATGTTACCAAATCCAAACAGGGAGGTGCTCCACGCATCCCAGGTTATGAATTATCCAGTATCCACATGCGGCTCACTTGACATACTGTCTAACGAGCACCGATTATCTCTAACCCGCGCGGTATATACGGGAATCGGGGTTTGTTATCCCGACATGAGCGCTAATCCTCACAACGCCGCGCCCACACTTCCCATATGGCAAAGGCTTCACGACTCGTGTAGCCCTTTTAATCTTGGTCCTCTGACACACCTTCGTTACCCACTTCCGGTCTTTCTGAGTCTTGGTTATTGGTAGAATCGTTACTTGGTGCCTCATCCACGTTCGACGAAGCGACGACACCCGCGGGAGGGACGAAAGTATCGCCTTCATCCGTGTCTAATTGCATCAGGAAAGTCTCCCAAATCTCGATGAGCTAGTACGCCAGTCAGTAAGCCGGAATATCAAATGTGGTAGGTGAACTCACTTCCTTCTGTGCTTCTACAGCACTCTCTAAGAAGGTTTCCACGCCCGACTTGAAGTCTTCGACCTTTTCTCTCTCAAAGCGCTCTAGCTCACTACGCATCAGACGACCCATATCGTCGAAAAGCAGCCTTGCTTGGTGGACCTTGCGTTCGGCATCTGCAACGTCGGCGCTGAGCTGGTTCAGACGGTCTTGCTGTGATCTGCCTTGCCTCAAGAGCTTGTCCTGATTGGTTTTCCGTTTCTGTAGCTCCTGTTCGGCAGAATGCCAGGAATGGTAGGCCTTCTGTCGCTGCTGGAACGCGGTCTTTACGGAACCTATCAAACGAATGTACTCGTCTATTACGATGCCCATGGTGAGGATGTCTTGTTGGGCTTGGCGCTCGTAAAGCTCTCGAATGCGAATCTGGATATCGGAAAGGCTATCAAGCGGACCGGACAGAGATGGTGATAACTCGACAGCAGACAAAGAATGCAGAGAAGCCGAGAAGTCGCCACACGCCTCAGCTAGACCTTTCCGCTGTGTGACTACAGAGTCAGTAGCCTTGAGAAGAGCTTTGAGCTGTGCTTCTAGAGCATCGAGGTAGATTCTGCGGTCGTGGAACCACTATGGTACCGTTAGTATAGTGACTAATCTTGAGAAACGTTGTACGTACGTCGTCGTGTTCAACGAATTTACCACTGCTGCCAGAGAGCATAGAGCCGAACATGCCCTTGCTTTCGCTTATGCCGGGATCTTTGCGCTCCTTGTTCTTGATGTCCATGTTGAAGGCTTCGCTTTCGAGGAACAGCTTCAAGTCACTGTCGTGTTGCAACACTGGATGCGCAGCCGCCTTGTTAAGCATACGCTCCAGAGCGGAGCGTCGCGACTCAACAAAGTCGGCTTCGAAGCGCCCAACGGCCTGTTTCTCCGGCGGTGGAGGGATAATGACTCCGGGGTTGTTGTTGTGCAGTTGTGTGTATAGCCAGAGGAAGTCACGGTAGCGGCGCGAGACGGTGAATTCGGGGTTGCGGTAGCCCTTGGACGTCGTCTTGGTGGTAACGGAGTATTCTGTGTGCGAGCTCGTGAGGTCACCGACTTTGTGAGGGTCGCCGACCGAAATGGCAAAGGACGGCTTCGCGGCCTGCTCGACGCTGACGCTTGGCTGTGTCTGGCGCTGGGGTGCGGCATTCGAAGGAGCCTGTACTGGAGGCGGTACTCTGGCTCCTTGAGAAGAGCGTAGCTGCGCGTCGTCGTCATCAAGGTCGACCGAATCCATCATGCCGCGCAGCGAAGGCGTGGAGGCGTCGGGGGCGGCCCGGGTGGTGCGCGACGCAGCAGCTTCCTTCTGAGGCGGCGCTGGAGGAGCAACCTCAGGGCCTGTCGACGGCGAGGGAGCACCCAGAGGGCCCAGCGGATCATCAACAGCCTCAAGCTTGGTGGATTGCAGGCCATACTGTCGCCTTCTGGGGCCGCGTCCTGCGGGCGAGCGCGGGGCGGCGGAGGCTGTCGGGGCAGCATCGGTCGCTGGCTTGGACGAGGTCGTGGAAGATTCGGCGTCCAGGCTGTCGTTCTGCTCTACCTTGTGAGTACTCGGCGCAGGGCTCGACCGTGAGGGCACATCTGGAGGCTTGTCAGCTGTGCGCAGTGTCGTCGACAGGACAAGAGACACGTACCTCCCCACGGAGAGCTCCCTTCATCTCCAAGGTCCATTGGCGCAATGATTGGGTGTGTGTGGGTGTCGTGGTAGTGGAAGTCGCAGGTGCCGTGGGAAGCCTACGGTATGGCCATGGCAGCTATGCATTGGCGCTGGGGTTGGCTACACGGCTATGACATACAGGGTCCACTAGTCGCAATCCCCATCACCTCACAACATGTGCATCATTTCGCCGTCTTTCGTTCTACCAGCCCCCGACGTTTGCATTTATTACAGATTACTACCCAGGCTCACTTTCCCATGTTCACAGGTATAGCCGACCTTGCCGTCTTCAGACCCCAGCCTCATCACCCCCCTCGTCTGCCCTAATCGTTTCCCAAGATGGACGACCCAGCTCTCGACAAAGACCTTTGTGCCCTCAGCGGCAGGCCTAAGGTAGGTCGTGTTCACTATGCCACGTTAGCACATTCCATATTCCAAACTTTTAGATACTTCAAGATTGCACTTACAGTTACGTGAGACATGTCCGCCGTCCCAGAACCCTTCGCGGATACAAGGTGTAATGGCCATGGAAGTCGTAATGTCAAAGATCAAAGCCACGGCTCCGCCATGAAGCATACCACCAGCGTTGCATAGCTGCTTAGGCACAGTAAAGCTCATGACGTTGCGCGACTCGTGAGGATTGCTGCTTGTCGGCGCATAGGTAACCGATTCGACCTTGAGTTCTCGCGCAAGGATAGCATCGTGGCCCTACAGATATAGCATTAGAGCAGCATGATGGACTCAACAAGGTAACATGCATCGTAATCACTGTCGCGTATGGCCTCGAACCATTGCGATACTTTCTGAAATGGCGACAGATCCTCCTCGTCGCCTCCTGCGGCCCCTCTTGCGCCTTCCTTGTTTGAAAATCTACTCATATTCGAGCGTCGTGAATGGAAAGAGACATGACGCTGATGGAGCAGTGTCAATGATGCGAGATGCATGCGGGCGGGACCTCGGTATCTCCAACAGCGCTAACTACTTCGAGCCGCTGCATCCGAAAATATGGTAGATAGACCAAAAGTTCCATCCCACGCGCCCTGAGCCCACCTGTCGAAGCAACGTCTAGCCATGGACCCGTCCGGACTCTTTCGCCAGCTGCTGCGCATGCCCGTAGGCCACCGCACCGCCCTACTCGCGCCTACGCGTCCAAATGCGCGCGCTTTCGCCATGTTCGCACCCCCGCTGTCGCACCCACGCTTCATGTCCCTCCCGCGCATTGTCCAGCCGAGCTTCTGGGCCTCTCTGATACCAACGCCACTCAAGACGCGCTCTGAGAGACCTAGTCGCAAAGAATGGAACCCCGCTACCCCGTACATCATTCTTGGATTGCTCGTTGGCAGCCAGGCTATCCAGATATTATGGTTGAAGCAGGAGAGGACACACAACCTTCGCAAAGCCGAAGCGAAGATTGGGGTATTGAAAGAGGTCATTGAGCGTGTACAGAGAGGGGAAGACGTCTCTGTAGAAGCGGTTTTGGGAACGGGCAATGAGGCCGACGAAAGAGAATGGGCTGAGGGTGAGTCAACACCCTAGAACGCGGCATAATTAGAGACAGTCTGGAAGCTGACATGTCATAGTTCTGAAGGATATCCAGGACGAAGAGGCTCTTTTCCAAAGTAAGAAGAGGAGGAAGGCACAGAGAGATGCTGCTATGCAAGAGACCGCTCAGACACCGGATAAGGACCAACAAAAGACACAGAGGACCAAGTTCACGAAACAAGAAGTAGAAAGCGTTGGAGGTGTGAAGTTCTACTGAGCTTGAAAAAGGCTACGTGATATGGAAGTTGACATCGAACGGACATCTAAGCCTCTTGTGCGGACCAGCCGCTCAAGCAGAGAGCTCAAAAAGAATGGGTATCGAACAGCAGTGAAGATCTGGCATCCATCGCCGTCACCATCACCATCAAACCTCATCACCACTTCGCTCCTCGCCTTCGCCTTCCCCTTCTTCGTTCTCGCCATGCTCTTCGTCAGGCTTCTCGTCATCTGCCGCAGCCGCAATCATGAACCCAGCCCCCAAAATCTTCGTCGCGACCTTCATCCTCTTTCCACGCTTTCCGTTGCCATTGTTGTTCGAGTCTTTGGTGGAGCCCCTAGCCTCAGGGTTGTCGCACAAGAGCGCAAGAGTAAGACCTCCACGCAAGGCATCATCGCACGCCGCCTTCACGTGCCGCAACAACAAACAGATACGGGCCAAGCGCCTCTCCGCGCTCCCCTCGCTGATATCCATGAGCTTGCCGCGAACCACCTTCTTGTGGTAGATATTGGGGCGAACCCAGCCTCGCGTGTGTACGGCGATGGCCTCGTCGAAGATGTGGTGAGCCGTAGCCTCGATGTCCGTGGGATCCCACGCCTCTTGCTCAAAGCGAACGACGTTGATCGACTTCTCGCCGTCGCGGACGTCGGAGATGTCGATGATGGAATCGTAGATACGGCGTACCCAGTACATGCCTAGGAAGAGATCAGATTAGTTCATGTTGAAACAATAATGAATATGCTGTGACTTACGTCCATACTTCCTGACGCGCTCGACATCTGGTGCTGGACCCTTCTTTGGAACGCGGGCGCGCTTGCGGTATGCTCTAGCGGCTGCGCCAGTCTTGAAGCGCCCGCTGAATGCTGGATAGATGGGCTGAAAGGGTGGATACTCCGGATCAGGCTCGAGAGCTTGGAATTCAATGGGTATAATCTCATACCCATCCTCATCTATCTCGGGCTCCCATGGAATGGGTAAGTAGTTGTCCTCGGTGAGAGCTCCCTCCGGGACCGGAGCACGTGGCTTGATCGGTTGGAATCCAAGAGAGCGCATCAGATCCTGGTATACGGCGTCCTTCTTCTTCGCGGTCAAGGCGGCGACAGCCTTGACCTGTTGAGCTGGACTGAGTTCTCCAGAGTGAAAGCGTGCACAGAACTCCTCAAAGTTGAACTCAGCATCAGAACTGCTGTACTTTGGAACTTGCGGCTTCTCGTTGCAAGCTTGTGTAGTGTGCTCCTCGATGGTAGATATGCAGCCTCCATCTTGAGTCTGAGTCGAAGCAATTGTATGCTGGAGGGATAGATCCAAGTTGGTGGCAGTGAAGTCGGCGTTGTCTTGGTTGCCAGTGAACTCGTTGCAGTCGAACGCGGTGTGGTCAAAGTCCATGTTTCCAATGTCGAAGTCGAGGTTGTTGGTGGATGCTGTTGCAAGTGTAGCGAAGGCATCGTGGACGGCACCGTGATCGTTGGCGTGGTCGTTGGCCTGTTCGTTGTGACCGAGATCTTGGTGTTGAGCAAAGTCGGCGTCGAACTGGAACCCAGAAAGATCACCCAAGCCGTCGTCTTGTTGATAAAGACCGGAATCAATGGGCTCGAAGGGGTTGAAGGCAGGTAGCTCGGGGTTGCTGTCGACAGGCACATCAGGAAGAACAGTCGAAACGTTGCGTCCATCAGCACCTGAATCCGGAGCCTCTGAGCGAGCCGGAGAGTGAGGAATTTGGGGTGAAGACATGGTAGCTCGAAAGAAGCGGTGCCAGACCGAGTGATGAAGAAGTTTGAGTGTGAGAATGTAAAGACGACCAGCGTCAAAACCAAGGCAAGTTGAAAGAAGAAGAAGAAGAATTTGAGCAAAGATAGAAGTTGGTGAGTAGAAAGTAGGTTGCAAGGAGGAGAAAGACCAGAAGCTATAGAGATGTTATACTAGCCCTAGACCCGTAGGCTGCCCCGTGTGTATCGTTTTCCCCATTGTCGAGACGTCGGACAATAGTGCGTGATTTTTTCCTGTACAAAGTCCCATTCTGGAGCTCGAAGATGCTTGTAAATTCCATATCACCGTATTGTTTGGTCGATCCTGGCGAATCACAGCCCGTCGTTCCTATTGTACCACGTGGGAGAGCGACGAGGTCGGGGCGCTAGTCGAGTCCCCTTCACCTTCACTTTTCACACAAACTGCGGCCCGTCTGAGCAATAGCCTCTTTCTCGAACAATAGAATGAACAAATATGCGCGCGCCCAAGGCTCACTTTTTGAAATACCAAATCATATACATTAAGATATCAAAATCCTACATTTGCCAGTGGTTGTTCCTGAATCAATAAACTCCTCTGACATCCATGACATGATTTGCAAACCGCTACGTCATTGATGCGCAAACTGAGCAAGATCAACTGAGTGCCAGAAAGTGGACCAAGGCGCAAGAAGCTCAAGAGTCTTGAGTCAATGATCCTGCAATAGCAAAAATGGTATAAAACGAAATCCCATCGAAACACGATGGTACCATGAGAATGAGAAAGTGTGAAAAAACCAAATTACGCCTTACAAATCGCTGAACACATGTCCCATCAAGTAGCAGCAAAGCGTTTCAAGGTTCGTGTGTGCCTTTACGAAGATCCGTGGACTTGTGTAGGCGAGATCATGGTTGCAGCCGGCTGAACAGAATTTGGGCCCTGGCTGCCTGTGGCAGTCTGTGGACCATCGTCGCTCTCCACCCTCTTCCTCCATTGCGAAAGTTCATCCACATCGTCGTTGTTATCGTTTTCAGGCATGCGTTCAAAATCAAAGCGGTCGCTCAATCGGTAAGCTTTGTTGGTAGTTTCCCAGTGACTCCTGAGTGCGTCCAACTCAGAAGCGAGATTGTCAAGGGCCATTGAGTTTCGTGTAGCAGAAGATGAAGGGCGGGGTATGGCTTCTGGCGTGCTGGAGCCATCGTTGTGGCTGTACAGAGACTCGGCCGATGCAACGCTATCGTGTGCCCGGTGGCGACTGTGTTCAGGGTGGGCGTTCTCAGCCGGAACCTGGGATTGGCGGCGGTAGTTATCGACCGATGTCTCAAACTGATCGAGGAACATTTGGACGCGGCTCTCAGCTTCGCGTGCACGCTCTTCTGTCTGTGCATACTGTCGGCGAAGCGATTCGAGGTCTGCCTGGAACTGAGCCGCCTGATGCTCGGCCTGCTTCGTGGCATTCGTTGCCGTCTCGGCATCGGCGCGAGCGGAAGCCAGATCGGACTGCAGTTTGGACAACTGGGTCTCGAAACG